TCGGCTCTTTGTATACACAATGACTCAGTTCATATTTTATTTATTTCATCAACTTTCTTCTATCAATAAATTAATTATGACACATTCTTTTCATTTTACAATAATTTTTGAAATATTTACTTTGTTTAATTTAGTATATTTATATTATAATGTTTATTAATATATATCATGCTTGTGCATGCAGCCCGTCATGAAGTTTTAGAAATTAAATGCGACCCATGAGTTGAAAAGGCTTACTTGTTCTTGAAATAAATCTATGCAGTAATAAGATAGTCTTTGCGAAATTTACTATTAGTTATTTTCTCTGTATTTTTTGTCCTTTGTTACATATTACTTCTTTTTTCTGAATACGGTAAAACGGACGAGCAATTTGTAAAGCAAAATTTTCTTCAAAAAAAGACAGTGAAAGTGAAATGATTAAAAAAAACTGTCGCCATTCTAAGTAATTGTAACAATAGTGGAATCAACCCGCTCTGAATTTTGGAAATTGCTTTCAACTTTAGCATACCACAGAAAAATTTTTTAGATATTGCAAAATGTATGTTTGTCCACCAATTTATATAAAACAAATTGGATAACTTATACAGTAATACGATGTTTACAACAGGTGCGTTTTTGTTGCCTATTCAAAAGGGTTAAATTAACAATATTAAAAGAAATATGTCTTCCTGTATTGATGACTTATACATTTGAACAAATAATGAAAAGCTGAAATTTACTTTTATAAAATACATTTGAATAAAATAACTTATAACTAGGGAATGCAATTACCGGTTTACCGAATTACCGGTAAACTGCACGATTTTTCGGCGGTATTTTTACCGGTATTTATTCCAAAAATACCGGTATTTTTACATAAGGCTATTTGATACATAATACCCTAAAGTTAAAATTTCTCAGAACAAATTTATCTTTAAATTCCATAATCGCATAAACAGCGACGTCTCCAAGTGATTCTATATGATAAACAAATGTCAAATATTATCTCAACTCGTCATTAAACTGAATATTTATTGCTTTCCAAAGGGCTTCATATCGTGTTACAATAAATAGAATTGGACTGATAGATAATGATGTCTTTTCATCCTCTTTTGTAAAAATGTAACGATTTTTTAAGTGATATTTGCGCCAAAATATTTTATATATACAGATTACCCCCTGCGTAATCTTTATTTTTTTCTAACTTTATACATAATAATTATAATAATTACTAAATATTTTTGCTTCTTATTACAATTATAAAATATTATTTTTTGAAAACATTTCAAAGTTTGAAAATATTATAGAAGCATCATATTGTTTTAAATAAAAATACTCAACTTATTATTTATCTCGACAAAGAATCCGATCTTAAATTAGTGTAGAAAAATTATTTATTTAAAATATTGGAGATTATGCTAATTTAACACATTGGATACGAACAATATAGTTTAATCTGTAAATAATATAATATGATATTTTATGAGCTTTTGGCCTTTTTACTCATAAATTTGTTTTTGGTGAAAAGTACTCAATAGTGATAATGAATTAATTAAATTGCATATACTTTTGTTAAATTATTATTTAAGAAAATAAACTTATTGTTTTATTTTATTTTTTAGTTGAATATAGTTGTAGTTGTATATACTTTTTTTTATATTTGTACTAGAAACTTTCAATTTTGTTTACGTTTGTTTAAGATAATAAAAATACCGGTAATTTACCGGTATTCCGGTTTTAAAATGAAAAATTACCGAAATACCGGTATTGAAATTTTCCATCGGTATTGCATTCCTTACTTATCACAATAAAATTACTTACAACCTAAAAATATGATTCTTTTTGAATAAATCCATAAAATATGTCTCAAATTTTTCACCTTAATATATATTATTTTTATTTTTGGAATAGTGACCTCATCGCGCCAATGAGTATACTGAACTGTCTCTATAAAAATGATAATGGAGAGACTAGTCCGAATTTGACAAATTCTTATAAACTTCAAAAGTTGGGCTTGGGTGATCTGATACCATTACTTGGTGATTTAGGAAGGCCATATATTTGGGCACAAAAACTATGCGGAATGGATTTCCTTCTTGTAGATTTACAAAAGGAAACTAAATATGACATTTCTCATTCAGTTGTACAAAGTGTTGTGAAAACTTTACGAAGTCGTCTGAGTGCGAGAATTGATCTTTGTAAACAGATTCAAAAATTAGGTAAATAAATAATATAAATTATTTATAAGTGAATAGAAATTACATATTAGTATTTTATAGAATCAGGCGTACTGTATGAAGTTCCTGATGCTGATGTATTTATTTCGTCTAAATATACTTGCTCACTTACTCAATGGTTAAGAATTTCTTGGCCTGAATATTGTGGTTCACAGTCAACAAAGTTACATATCCAGGAACAAAATGTTTTTGAAACAGATATTTTTTATAGAGCATTGATCACCAAGGGTTCAGGTATGATTTGGATTTTATTTAATTTTGCATTTCAAACATACATTTAATGAATGAATTATAGATCTACATTTTTTTATGGTATGCTGAGCAAAGATATTTAATAATTTATATTGATATAAAATTTTACAGCAAAATTGGAGTGCTTTGTAGCTGTAAGTGTAGACTATCCAAAAATTACACCGATTTTCTCTTTAACTGTTACCTGCAATGGCGATATTATGGATAATACAAATTATGATACAATAAGAGTAAGCATGTTATGAAATATTAGTCAATTAAAATTCATCCATGGGGCATTGTCATAATTCATTAGTTTTGAAATTATTATTGTATTTTGTCTTCGTAATTGCATTATGCCACATATTTGTCATATAAGACTTGGTAAACTGAAAGAATGATACAGCGTGAGAAAAATCACATTTATATATAGATGCAATAATAGTAGTCAAAATTTTGTAGGTTTTATATCATTGTCTTTCATTAACATTCACATGATATAAAACACAATAAATCAATTTATGATAATTAATTAAGAAATTTTATTACAGGATATGGAAAGAGCAATAAATTGTGACTGTGAAAAACAAGTAGCCCCTCACAATAGCAGATACATTCTTACTTTACAATTGATAAGAGTGTTATCATGTTTTGATATATTTTTAGAAAATCATACTTCATTTGAACAGAATAAAGGCAAATCACCCAACACATTTGTTAGAGGAAGAAATAGATTACAGGCTTATAAATTTGAACCAGCAGTTAATGGAATGTTTAGCCATTTTTAAATAATAAAATTTTAATATAAATACTAATTTCTATTTTGACTGTTTTATTTATAATTTTCAAAATATTTCAAACATTTCAGGCGTATTTTACATATAAACAAGCGAGGAAGAATGTTGTGATAACAGAATCTTCGAGAATGCTGTTTTTATAACATTCTTTCTTGTTTGGCACATTATATTGTCTAGGCATACTTGTTTCTTATGGTATGTATCACTATCGTTCGTTGTTTACAAAGCCAGCAGCTGGATGCGGTTTAACCATTTATTGAATACTATTACATTATGCGGAAATCTATACAATAGCGCACTTTTACCGGAGTCAGGAACCCATATTGTTCGTTTAAGTAACAGTGTTTGCCATGTTTGCAAAAAACTGTTAACAGCAGGATTCAAATCAAATCTCAATAATACGAAAATAACGATTTTGAACGGCTCACTAGCGCTGGTGGCGAGAGGTCGAAACATTTTCAGTACATGCGAATTTTGTTCGGAGTCGGTCTATGGTATCTATGCCTAGACAATATACTAATATAGACGTTTCTCTCTCGCGGTATTTGCGTTCAGAGAGCTAGGGAAAGTCATGACCGCAATATTGGGTGATGGCGCTTTAATCGCATGTCGCTCGGCAGCCTCGTGCTCCAAAATGCATTCAAATTAAAGCGCCAAAATTAGAAATAAAAGAAAATTGTCAATTTTAAAAATAATATATTTGTATTTAAATTTTGCATTACAATAGTCTTATATTGACATTGTTATACAATAACAAAACATACCAAACAATAATACATATATTAAAATAGATATCAAAGTAAATAGCAATATGTTGCAACAAACATATTTATTTAAAAAAAAGGAAAAATAAAAAGTTTAACGAATTACAGGATTCCTGCCTTCAAGTGGATAATCATTCATTATTCACTACCAATAATGTTGTGAACACAAAACATGGTGTTTAAATTATAGTGTCTGTGCATTATTTTATTAACTAATAATCATTCCAAGTAAGATTTGTCACTTTTCAGCACATTCTTTGCGATAAATCCAGTCATGCTAAATGGCTCTTGATATTATCTTGAATATTCAAAAAACTGCTGCATTAAATTAACTTATTTTATCATCTTGCACGGCAATTGGATTTCGTTCATTAACTCAGTGGCGTTCCTAAAAAATGTAAAGTCTAGTCTATTTATGCTTTTCCATATATATTTAAGAGCCTCCAAAGTTTAATACAATTCTGAAAAGTTAGAGGAGCCTTGCCTTTCTTACAAAAGAGCCCTAGCTTGCTCCCAAAATGTATTGTGATTAAATTTTTATTATATACACTGCTTTAACAACTGCTTTATATCCTCTTCATTTAAGAGTTATAGATTTTGTTTGAATCACAAATAAAACCGTATAAACAATTATAAAACACTTGTAAACACAACAATCACAATAAGAATCAAAACAAAATTTTGACATTTCTGGTACATATTGCTCGTGAATTACTAACCTGTCAAACTTGTCATCGGCTCACTAGCGCCAAATTTGCGCCTAGCGGCCGTGACTGGAACTACGCGTTGTGAACGCGGATTTTATACTGAGATAATAGGGCCTGGTATCTATGCCTGTATCTATGCATGCCAGTTTGCTCATCGCTCAAAATTTTCATGTTTTTATGATGTTATCCAAATGGGAGGAAATATTGAAACAATTTATTTAAAGAGAAAATTATGCAAAATTTTTGTATGTGCTAAATTTAATTTCCACTTTACTTGCACTTTTTCAGCGCTTCCAGTTCAAGTGTTTTTTTAAATAAAAATGAATAAATAATACGCAGGTTGAATTGTCATCTGTCAAAAGTCGTAACAATAAACCGTTCATGCATTTTCTCTGACGGAGATAAGCATTTTAATCATTAACTTTCTCACCTAAGTGTTTTAGTGCGATAAAATGAACTCGTTATTGTTAGAATTACACGTAGTTCATTTTGTGATTCTCTGAAATATATTTTGCAAATTGAAGGTAATATTGTGTGGCATTTCAACTGAAGACATTAACGTAATTACTATTGTATAAAAATGTACGTTTATTTCATTCTTGTTTAATAAAACATTTATCATAATCACAGTTTAGTTCGAACAAAATTTACAGAAGATCATATCATGTCACTGCCGTCACATGTCAATCCAGATAGTCATAGGATTTTATTAGAAAATCCCAATGGGGGCCCCATCAATCAACAATTACAAAACAATTTTGATCCCGCTAGAAGTCAATCAAGTAGCAGCTTCTTTGATAGATCAATGCTAACGGAAAGAGCTAGACTAATGTCTAATTCTGGTACACGATCCATTAGAGATAATATACAAAATGTTTTCCAAGAAATACGGCCTATAGTTCAAACAGTTAAGTATTATTTTTTATATAGTATAAAGGTTAATGTAAAGATTATATTTTTGAAGTGCTTTTTGAATAACAAATTTTTGCTTAAATGATATCGATATATTATTGATTGATTATATTCAATTTGTTTTAAAATTATTTTGCTTCAATACTCTCATTTTTTTTTTTTTTGATAATATCCATAAACCAACAATATTTAAATCCAAATTATTTCTAAGTATAAAACATTTTGTGTAATTCAGGTCCATTCAAATTGGCTTACATCCCATCATACTGAAATTCCAGTTAATAGTATTAACAATTATGAATCTATGAACGCAGCACCTATGCAAAGAAATGAAAGTTTTATCATCAACTTAGAACAAGGTACCAGTCATAATCACAATGGTTCTGGTCATGTACATGCTCATTCACATTCACATTTAAATATTGGTGAATCTTCAAATGACGAAACGAATTCGGTAACAAACGGAGATGGAACTATATCACGTGGAATAGATGCTGACCAACAAGCAAATATTAGAAGCTTAGAAATACCAGTAAATGAAGCTTTACGACAGGTTATAATGATAAATGCTTATTTTTCATATTGCAGAACTTTACGCCATATATATTTTTAATTACAATATACAAAAATGTTTTTAAACATTATTATTTTTCAGAATCCTGAAGCAAGAGCAATTATGCAAACACTTTTACGGTATTTACCATTTTCATTGATTTTGCTAGGAAAATGCCTTTATGATAACAGAGAAATATTATTGATTTTATTGGTTTTATTAGTAACATTTATCCATGCAAATAAAACAATTATTCGTGAAGCCAGTAAGCAACAAAGAAAATCATTTTCAACTTTAGCAATCGAGGTAGTTTATATAACAGGATGTATTATTTTAATAAACTATCTATTCCAAGGAGAAAACTTATTTATGAATCTTGTGTTTATGGGCTCTTATGACCATATTGTAACAATTTGGGATTTGTTGTGGTTAACTGGCATTGTTGATATTACAATTAAACTTTTAACAGTAGCAACCAAAATATTAGTTGTGAGTTTACCAGGGAAATTATTAGCATATCAAAAGCGTGTAAGTTTTTTTCTGAATTATACATTTTTATGCATAGATAGTGAGCTCAATATACAATTTTTTTAGGGTAAAGTATTTTTAATGATTGAAATGAGCTCGCAATTCTATAGAGCTTTAGCTCCAATCCAACCTTGGCTGTACTATTTGCTAGAATATTATCAAGGATCAGAAAAGGTATAAAATTGATTTGAAGATTTTGTATCAAGTTTCTTGACGTTTTCTATGTAATTTTCTACAATTAATTTTAGATTATGGGTGTGCTGTTTTCTGCGGCATATATGGTATCAAAAGGAACAGATTTATTACAGAGAGCAAAGTCTTTTAAGAATGCCATTCTTAAAATGCTACAAGATGTGGTAGTTATATTTGTTATTGGAAATAATATGTTAAGCGTTAATGTTTAATTTAGATACTGTATTAATAAATGTTATTTATATTTCAGAATCTTGGAATTTCTCCAACCATGGAACAATTAATCTCAGCAGGCAATCAGTGTCCTATTTGCCATGATGAATATAATACACCAGTGCTACTAGCATGCAGACATATTTTTTGTGAACCCTGTGTAACAATCTGGTTTGATAGAGAACAGACATGTCCTTTGTGTCGAGCTAAAGTTGTGGAGGATCCATCATTCAAGAATGGTGCAACAACATACTTTATTCAATTGTACTAATTTTAAATATGTGATAAAACTAAGACTAATTAAAATTAATCTACTTTTATATATAGATATATATTCGTTATAAAGTGATAATTATATTAAAGTTATGATAGTATAATTTATTCTTATTATTAATATATCGATTTAAAATTTAGTAACAAGAAAATATAACAATTTAGTTATAACATGAAAATGATGATGTGATACCAAATATGAAAACATGCTCATGCTCTATCTGTATCAGGTAAGTAGTGATGCTTGGTGATGGGCGTTCAATCAACCAACAGTTTTTTTTTCCAGACTCTAAGGTGAAAGTCTATGCCATGTCTATGCTTATTTATCTATGAGCCGAAACGTCATCGCTCTCGAAAAATGTGACTTATACTTTGCCAACTTCACTATTGTTGTGAAATTGATGACATGTCAGCTATTTGTCAGAAATTGTAATACTGTTTCACGACTTTCACTAATAAGATATTAAAATAAAACATGGATGAAAATACACACAAAACCTTATCTGGAATACCGCTCTTGAAAACAAAAGCAGGTCCAAGAGATAAAAGTCAATGGCCAGCCAGATTGAAAGAAGAATATTTAGCATTAATTAAGGTTATAAGACTTAAATTACAAATATTTGAATAAATTTTGGACATATAATAATAAATTTATTTTTATTTTAAAGTATGTACAGAATAATAAAGATGCGGGAAATGATTGGTTTCGCTTAGAATCTAACAAAGATGGAAATAGATGGTTTGGAAAATGTTGGTACATGCACGAGCTACTAAAATATGAATTTGACATTGAATTTGAGGTAAGAATAGACAATAGAAAAATAACAGGTAAGATGAATTACTTTCAAATTTGATTTTACGGTTTGCTGTTAATGAACCTACTAATTAAATCAATTTAATTTTAGTTTAAAGTTAAGTAATAATGTATTCACAGTTACTCTTCATATAGTCTTTTTATAAGTAGACTTGATACTTTAGCGGATAGACGTGATCTCAAAATTGTCTTTTTTGTTGACCCACAAATTTAAGAATATATGGCCTACATATCTGAGGCTTATTGATAATTATTGCAATCCCATGTATGTTTTCTCTTTATAAGATTCCTGTAACATACCCTATGACATCCCCTGAATTGGCTCTGCCAGAATTAGATGGAAAAACAGCTAAAATGTATCGAGGTGGAAAAATATGTTTGTCAGATCATTTCAAACCTTTATGGTCTAAGAATGCTCCAAAATTTGGTATTGCACATGCAATGGCTTTAGGGGTATGTTAACTTTCATCATATTTTTTAAAAATGCTTTAAATAATTTACTGAATGTGTTAACTTTTTAGCTTGGGCCTTGGCTCGCTGTGGAAATTCCAGATTTAATAGCAAAAGGTGTAATAACGTATCAAGAAAAAACTGAATAAATTAAATTTTTATAAACAATTTTATTATATAATAAATAATATCAACAATAGCCAGGTAATTTTAATAAATTGGATCCGGAAAAAGCACTTTTGGATATGAATGTTCCTTTTTGTGCATGCACTTTTCTAAGTTTTTCTTTCAACATTTTTCTATCCAGACGCTCAGCTTGTCTTTGTGCAAACAATTTCTTATCAAATTGCTTTTTAGGAACATTAGAATATGTATCATTTGAAGTTTTCTTAGAACAATCTATTTCATCTGAAGGTTCATTTGTTTCAATTTTATCTTTTTTAAGTTTCTTTGTTGTGGGTGATTCAGAAATAGGAGATTCATGAATGGTATTTTGTTCATGATCATCATTAATGAACTTCCGTTTTTTTTCTTTACTAGTATGTGTATTATTGATATCTTGAATATTTAAATTATTTTCTTCGAACTCCTCTCTGGAATCTACCTCATTGTCACACTTAGTTTTTTTCTTCTTTTTAGACTTCTTGGATGGTTTGTCGGTGTTTTCATTATTGTTACATATGTCATTTTCTGAAATCTTATTTTCAGGTTCTTCATGCACATCATTTTCATTCATATTCGGTATTTCTTCAGCTTCGTTACTATATTCTTTTGATTTTTTCTTCTTATTCTTTTTACTTTTTTTTTTGTTTATGCAACTGTCAATGCCTTTGTCAATTGTGTTAATGTTATTCTGCTCTTTTTCACTATGTACAATAATCTCCTCATCTAAACTAATATCCTTGTTTTTGTTCTTTTTGTTTTTCTTATTACAATTATCTGATAAAATATTAGATGTACATTCAGCCACATTTAGCACTGATTCATCTTTTGAAATATTTTCATTTATTTCATTGTTTTGAAATACGTGCTTTTTCTTCTTCTTTTTTGATTTATCTGCAGTTTCTAACACATTTTCAACATCACCATTAATAAGCAATTCCCCATCCAAAATATTGTGTTTAACTATATTCTTTTGTTTTCCCTTATTTTGAACCTCTAATCCATCAGTAGTATCTTCCGATGTGACAGTTTTAGATTCCTCATTATCCATGCCATTGTCAGCATTCGATTTTGTTGATTTAGATTTTTTATCTTTTTTCTTTTTCTTTTTAACAATTTTGCAATCATTAGAATTTTGATCAAATTCTATAATTTCTTTTGGATCAGGAATGACATCCATCACATCTTCTTTAGATTTCTTTATTTTTTTATTCTTTTTATATGCTGTATTTTCCTCCATATTAGTATCTGGGTTTTCTGTTATTGCACCTTTAGAATTGTGATTTTCAACTTTATTAGTTACATTGCACGATGATTCAGTTTGTTCTAAATTGAAAGAAGGTCGAAAACCATCTTGTCTATCAAATTCAGATGTTATTTCATGCTCTGTAGACCGAACTGATTCTTCTTCTTTACTAATCTTTTCATTGAGATTGAAAGATGGTCTAAAGGTATCTATTTCTTGGTCATTGTTAACATTTTCTTCTTTTAATGTTTTGAGAACACCATCAGAGCCCACAATATATTTATTGGTTTTCTTAATGGGCATTTTACTTTTGAAATAGTCGCTTATACTTAATTTTGTCTCAATAGTTGTTATTCCGAAAGAAAAATCTTTTCTGAAATTAAAAGATCTGTATTAATAATTAATGTATTATTTATAAACATATAATAGTATACATACTTCTCATTATCTTCTGTAGCCTTTGGTGGATCACTCTCAACATTTGAAACAGTTTTGTTCTCTTCAGTTTTAATATCATCCACTTTTTTACCAAAAATATTAGCTAAATCCTTTTCACTATACCTTGATATATCCTTTCCTCTGGTAAATTTTTTGTAACTGTAAAAATAAATTACATCAATTCTTATAATAACACGAACATAAAATTAAATTACGTACTGTACTCTAGCTTTAGATTTCTTAGATTTATCTTCCAATGATTCTCCACTAAGTTCTTTAACTACAGTTTCTTTATTTTTGTCTTTGAAACCAAAACCAGAACAAGAAGTGACTTCTTCTTCTACTTGTGTATCATTTTTAACAATAGATTCACCGTTTAATGAACTTAACAATGAATTGAATTGATCTTCATGCTGTGTCCATTGGTCATCTCTTAGTTTGTAACCAATTCCTGAAATAATTATTAGAGATTTATGCAATAATAGTACGATTATTATAACTTAATCACATAAACTTACCTTGTGAATCATTTTTAAAAGCTACTTTTATATGTTCTGTTATGCCACTTTCATTCACACCCAAGCCTTTACCACTGGTCCACCCCATTTTTTCCAGTAATTTTTGTCCGAATTTATTAGAGTCTGAAAATTATATAATAGTTTGTAATATGAAGACTAAAAATTATGATTCACTAATTAATTAATTAATAAAAAGAATTATAAAAAATTTAACCTTCACTCCATTGTTTTCCACGCGGATTTAAAGCCCATTTAACTTTGCGTTTTCTTTCTGCTAACATCGCCATGATGTAGTTTATTTATGTTATTTTATGTTCAATGTTATAGTAAAACGCAGAAGGTAATGAAGTGAACAATTAAATCATATGTAATTACAGCATTCATGAGAAGAGGAACAACGAGCAGCACATGGCAAAACCACTGACAGAATAGGTTATGTTCATATGTCCATGAGTAGATGAAAGATGAGATGTAAATTTATTAAGAAATTTGTGAAATTTGTCTTGTAATCATTGTATTAAAATTTTATGAGGTATATTAATTAATCATTATTAATAATAATGTTAATGTTCTTTTTTTAAATTTGTAAGTATGATTGCATAAAACTGCCGCTAGGTGCGATTAGAGCGTTCACGGTGGTGAAGGATGAAACAAATAGTCTTCTGATTGTTGGTACGTCCGACATTTGACAGTTTATTGAATTCAAGGTTAGTTTATTTAATTTAAGTCGTTTAACTTTAACATTTTTTTAAAAATAAGATTCAATTTTCTTTATAAAAGTGATTTTAAAATCTTTTCAACTGCCGTATTTTAGAATGTGGTTCATATTCAAATTCTTCAAATTCAACTATACCCTTAATCCTCCATCCATCCAATAATTAAACAATTTTAGTGAAGAAAAACTATCTTTATTGTTAAACTTTTCGGGTCCTGATTTGACCCATCTTCAGTGCATACAAATAATTTAAAGAAAAACACAAAACATATGGTACCAATTAATATAACTATATAGTCATGTGACAATAATTTTCTAATAAATCTTAAATTACTAAAAATAAAAATAAAATTAAAATAAATGAAAAGATTTAAAAAGCTCTTCTCATCGAGACATGTTATTCATTTGGAATTTCTTTAACAAGTACATTGAGTTATATATTATTTGAATTATACAGTAGAGTCTTGATTAACCAGACTAAATGTTGTTGATAGGCATATTAATAATCGAATATATGAAGAATAATGCTGTATATTCATTAAAAATAATAAATACATACATAGATATCAACAAAAATAAAGTTTATTAAGAAATTGAAATTTTCTTACGTATGTTCATACATAGTTTCTTAGATTACAATACATGCATATACTAAACTGCAGCATTAATCATGCAAAAAATTGAAATTGTAGGTAGGTACATCTATGGGTAGGTACATACATATAAATTGGTTGCGGTTGGTACTTCATATTCAAATGTTTATTTGTTTAAACAATTTACACAAATAAGTTTTTTCGTATCACCATTCGCAATATTGTCATTGGCAGTAAAAGTACATATCAGTAATACAGAAAATATTATTACTAGAAAATCGTGAAATAAATAATATTAGTAGTAAAAGAAATATGTACATATTATTTATACTTGTTTATCTATGTCAGTAGTAGTTCATGAATTTAAACTTTTATTATTTTTATTTCTCAATCATAAATATATTATATTCCTTATAATTTTCATCAATCAAAATCAAAAATCTAAGAAAACTTGTAAACAATAATATAACCTAAAAAACCAATTTTGAAAACGAATCGCCGATGTTGGTACACTTGTGTTTAGTTGGCTGCTCATTATTATTCAACTTCACGTTATGGTATTGACAGTAGAGTAATGTCATATAAAGAGCTCTGCGACATTTTACTAATAAATGTCAAAATGACAATACGTATGAAAGTGAATATAATTCCGGCGTTCTGCAGATTTTTGATGTGTATATAGTTATATTTCAATGCCACCGTATTGAATTATCTTGTAAAACGTAGAGAAAATATCATTCATCCAAGTGTGTTAATTTTTAGAATGAATTACCAAAAGTTGTTCTCGAAATTCAATTATGTGTACACCGACACTGTGGAAGAGAATTATTACGAAGATATCATAACACAAACCGACGATCAAAATAACAAAACAGTAAAAGATGATAAAACATATACAAATTACGAGATAACACAAACGACATTTAATAGTGAAAATAGTGAATTGCTTATCATAAAAGATTGTGCTGAAGTGCTTGATAAAGAACTTGAAATTAAGCAAGAAATTCCAGTGCGTGAACTATCGCCAGAAGATGTAAGACAATTTTTCTTATTCTTATTGCTATAAAATTTTAAATAATTATTGCTTTAGATATATAACATTCACTTTTTACTACTATTAATGCAGTAAAATCACATACATAAAAACAATACGTAAACAAATCTAACTAGTAATGCAGAACGTGATTGCACAATTATTGCTATTCAACTTATGATTCATAAAATTAGCTATGCCTAACTATAAACATGCATTATGAATTTTCTAAGTACTTATTTACGTATAGTTCATTTAAAATGCTGTTAATGTTTATTACCATGTTGCAATTAAACAATAATGCTAACTACATTACATTTGCGTAAACAATTGCATTTAAAATTATAACAATTGATTCTAAAGTAAATACACTTCAATGATGCTTTGCGGAGGTTAATTTAAGAATTTAATTACTGATGTCAATTTTATTTATATAAAATTCGTATATATCTTATAGTAAGAAGAAAATTATCAAATTATTATTTTGAATGTCGAATGTTTTTACACGATATGAATATTGTTTTTAAATATAAAATTTTATTGTTATGTATATTTATTTCGGTATTTATGTATGAATAGTCAAGCTTGCATTTTTCAGATAGATTAAGAGTTATTTTTGTTGAAATATATAGTGAAACTAGAAACGACAGTAACATGCAACCTTTTTTGCAATTGCATTTTTTATTATATATTTGTCTATTAAAATTATATATTAAGCGTCCGACATATTTTGTTTGTGCAACTTTTATTTCTTAATATGAGTTTTTAATTTAATTTTTTGTTGTTTTCCAGATTTGAATATTTAATGTGCAAATTTTATTGCACTGGTATTAAATTTAAACCATTTTTCATCTAGCTCTTGATTTAATTCAATTATTGATTTTAATTTATTTCATTTCAAAGAATTGCTAAATTTTTGTTGAATACATTTGTTGTCGAAAAGTGAAATTGTTTTGTTTCATTTTTTATATTCTTTTACTGTATTTGTTAATATTGAAGATATTTTAAAAATATTATGTACGAGCATAGATAAAAGAAGGGTACATGTGTACGGGGATGTATAATATTTATACAAAACACTATTTGCATCTACAAAAATGTAATTTAATGAAATATTATATGTATATGGATTTTGAGCAAATATTTAAAAACAATATAATTTTCTCAATTATTACAATGATAATTTTATACAAATGAAACTGACATAATTTAGAATTATGCAGATGATGAGACAAACCATGGCTTCAATACATTTTCAACTTTTTAATGTCTTTCTTAATTGTTTTAACAATTTTATTTTATAAATACTTAACTGATATTTTCAGACTACAAATTAATATGCAATATTATGTAGAACTATGCATAAAAAATCGATGTATCTCGATGAGGATCATCGTTTCTCAGTTTTGTGCGACTATCGCCCGAGCCGTTTCTTTATAATTTGGAAAAAAGTGTCCGTTCACATTTAAGCTCATACTACCGAATCGATTTAAAAAAAATCAAAAACTGTTCGAAAGATATTAGTTGGGAATGATACTGATTAGTTTTAGGTCAAGGGCGAGCAACCTTTTTAACCCGCGGGCCAAAATTTTATGGCGGGCCGCACGTAATTTATATATACTAGCTGACCCGGCGAACGTTTAGCCACAGAGAATATTTTTAGAAAATCATTAGTAAAAGAAATGACTAACTAATTCTGAATGTATAATTTTGTGGTATATAAATGAGGGGCAGCTAACACAAATTACATTGATAATTTACCCACTGCAATGCTGAAATACTAACATCCATATTTGAATTATGCTATGCTATGCTTAGCGAAAAATTCAGTTTTCTCTCAAAAACAGTTTTATCTTCATATATAATATTAAATTTCTATTTTTTTTTTTGCTAGAATTGCTCCTTCTGCAACACATGTACCGTTAGGATAAGTCTACAAATCAGTTTTTTATCGGAATTAACCCTTTCGTTGCCAATATCTAAGAATTGTTTTTAAAATGTTGCAGCGGACAGATTGGATAAATTTAGGATTTTTTCTAAACTCAGAAAATCTTGATCGAATTTCAATTAAAAATGTTCACAAAAATGGCGAATATAGTTAATTCATCGATCACCAAGCTATATAAAAAATGATTGGACTACTTAAATGACTATTTTATAATAATGAAAATTTGGAGTTGTATGTAGTTTTCCATTACGCATTAAAAAATTAAAATAAAGAACAAAATAAATTGCTTTTTCTTTTTGAATAAAATTGAAGCTTTTTCATAAACTCAAAAGTCTGAACTAAAATTAAGTCAAAAGATTTATTGACTAAGCGCGGGAATAATGTAATTGCAATAAAATTGCCACAAGAACAAAAATTCAAAATTAAAAAAAGTATTATTTTATATAATTACGAGTGTATAAGTGTTTATAAATATTACTACAAAATAAAAACAAATAGTTAAGCAGAAAAACTAATTTACTTGAAAACTTTAATAAAAAATTTGGCACTGCTTTTTTATATAAGCTGATCAGTATCAACCGTTTTTTTTTTAAATTTCGTTCTTTATTTTAATTTTTTAATGCGGAAAGTAGCAACGCGTATGCAGTTTTGCTATGTTTTACTCAGTTTTGATAGATGGCATTTTTTTATGAATTTCATGGTTGAAATTAATACAAGTCCACATAAAAATTTGTCTCAATTGGATGTGTGACATGTGTTTTCAAATGTAATAAATATACAGTCAAAATTGGGACACAAAATATGGAAAAACATTTAAAAACTGGCACAATCTTCAATCTAGAATTTTTTCTGAATGGATTAATCATTATCCAGCGATTAATTATTATCCTTCTCTTTTGTGGACCTGTGTAATTGTTCGCACACATACGTACTTCCAAAAAAAAATTATCATATTTGATTTGCGTTTTTTTTTCAGGGCGACGTTAGATTTATAAAAAAATTCGATGTTTACTGAAAAAATACAATTTTTAAATCTGTATTATTTTGCATGCTATATTATTTGCATGGTGAATAGTGAAGAAAACATTTACATGAAAACAGCTGTCTTGTTACCTTTGAACATTTGAAATCACAATTAAAATTTGTTCACATTTTTTTCTTAAATATGAAAAGCGAAACACAAGATTCTGCAAAAGATATTATGATTTATTACCAGAATTACGAAAATACTACAATTGTTCTTTCATATCCAAAAACAATTTATAAATATCGCCATTTGGGTCGTATACTCCTTTAAGCATTGCATCACCATTAAGCTAACGTACTTTAGTATTGAAAAGCACATTCACGATGATTTTACCCTCGCGACTTTATAAGATTTACTTATTAAATTATTTTAAATTTAGAAATGCGTTGTTGCTATGCTCTCGGACAAGTTCTCAATTTTTCTTGCAATTAATTAATATTTATTTCATCAGGAAATGCATTTTTCTGCGAACAACAGTTTTTACCAGTATGTGACTGATAACAAAATTAGTTCTTAAAGCCGTATTTGATAAAATATCTAGAAAAATAATCTGTAGTTAAAAAATGCTTGGCGGGCCGCAGAAAAGCATCCGGCGGGCCGCATGCGGCCCGCGGGCCGCGGGTTGCTCATCCTTGTTTTAGGTGAAAATCTTAATAATCATACTAAACTATTAAAGTCTTAATGCAAACTCGAAACACTTTTGATCACTCATAAATTAATTCTTTTTTTTTGATGTTACTTGCCACAAGGCAAAATTCCAATACTAACTAGTTTCATTCACTTTTTAGATCATATCAATATTTTTGGTTCATTTTCGAATACAGTATTTTGCCGCCCTTGTAGCAGGCGTTTCTGAGGTTGGAAACCACGTGTGTAGTGTATTCAAAACAGGCATATGTATCATAATAATAAAAGTAAACTTTAATTATTTTAAAGAAAATTATGTTATATAATATTATATATAATCATCATATATAATTATTATATATGATGTTTTAAGTTTCAACTTTGAACTTCTTGATAATTAACTTTCCACAGGTTAAATTATTGTAATCGCAAAACAATCGTAAATGATTTTTCTTTGCATATCCTTACGTTTCGTGACCTCCTGAAGGTTTTGGCATACCTCAGAAAAATTGATATATGTGTGTCGTTGTACAATACAATATATTGCCCACGATTTCGAAAGCGCGGATCAACCGATTTCAATTATTCAAAAAGCATTCGATACAAATTAACGAGGAGACCTGCTGATTAGTTTCTGGCAAAGGCAGGTTCGGCCGATTCGGAAATACGGAGGAAAAAGTGCAAAATTGTAACAGTTTTTGAGAGAATGAAACATCTGATTAGAATGATAAAAACATTCGATTTATACTGACGGGAGAGATCTGCTGGTTAGTATTTCACAAAGGCTGGTCCAGCGGTTTCGGAGATACAGAGCACAAAAAATAGCAGTTTTTAAGACAATGGAGAGTTGCATTGTCTTGGCAGTTTGGAAAAATTATTAGTTTTTCAGATATTTCAAAAAAAAAAAATCTCTTAAATTTCAAAATTTAAAAAAATATATATAGAAAATAATTTTGATTTTAATATTAATTCTATCTAAAATTTTCACTTTCTCACTTATATACTCGAAGTAAACAATTTTAATTTTGTAATTTAGTTCATTCTTAGAAAATGAGATAAGGTTCTCCCTGATGCATGGCAAAATATAAAATAAGGCTTTTCATCCTAACTCGGCAATATATATGTATATACATGTATATATATATATATATATATATATATATATATCATTTAAAAATCGTCGTCACCTAATTTATAGGCTCTAGATTTTCTCTATAAAGTTCTAATAATGAAAGATACTTCACTTACTTTATAGGTGCGAAAATGAAATTTACAATATTTTCTCAAGAACTTTATTATATGTTATTTTTGTATTTTATAATAAAACAATTTTTATCACCTTGCTCATTTGTTATAATGAAAGCTTTATTTCTGTGAAAACTTTTTTTTCATACCCGG